GGACTTGAAGGAGAGAGATCAAGGATCTCCAAGCTGCCCACTGGGGCAGCCGACTTAACCACAGGGACACACAAGTCGCTCGATCACAATCTTCCCCATTCTGGAGAGACAGATGGTACTTCTGAAAATCTTTCTGCTTTCTTGGAGCATCATAGAAAACGTTGACCAATCCCAGTCAAACAGAATGAATTGGATTAAAAACAAAACAAAACACTACAACTTCACAAGTTTAGCTTCCAAGTGAAAACCTTAAATAAATAAAGCTTTTGACAAGGAAACCCATTGTCATCTTCAGGATGACAAAAGGCATAGTTAACTACATTGCATAAGGTGATATACACTCAGTGTGGTTATATCACGAAATACTCCAGGTGTACTAAGTGCTTAATCAACTTTCTGCTGTCCTGATGAGATCAATGATAGGAAGCCACGAGTCAATAGGTCTTTGCCCTTCCTCCTGTTTTACCACGACACACATTTGGAAATCGTAGTCTAGGAGTTGTGGCCCAGATAAAAATGGCTTCTTGGAGCTCTGCGTAGCAAAGAACTCCAGCGAAGCTTCATAGGCTGCGCTTTCAGTTTTCTGAGCAGTTAGAATGTTGATGAACATTCCGTGACAGACAGCCAAGTCTGAGACTCTGCCAAGCCAATGGTACTGAGAATTCCTGATCGTTTGGGATAACTAGCAAAAGAACAAGGTCCCCACACATTTACGTGTTCTGATCTTTAATCTGATCTCTCAGCTCTCTGTGGCTTGAACTAAGGTTTCCCCGACCTTCCTGTTCGGTTGGCGTAGCAGGTCTCTCCTGTTATACTGCTTGTCAGTTATAATACAATTATAAAACTGTCTCAAGTCAAGGGTTCCGGTTTCTTACATATCCAGGGCTGGAAATTGGAAATTAGAGCAAGGAGGAGCTTCTGCTGGTGCTAAACACCGACCTCCAGGCGCTCCATCGTTGCTATTTGCCTAGCAAGCAAACATTCAACAGGGGAAGCACGGAGCTGAGAGAGGAAGGACTCCTATATATCTCTCTCTGGTGTCAGCCAGAGTGGCACAATGTTGATTGGGGCAGGGCTCAGGAGCCCTGGGTTCAAATCCCCTATTTAGTTCCAAAGGTCATGGGGTTCAAAGCCCCATTTGATCACAAATTATACTCTTGCAGCCGGATCCATCTCACGGGCAAACAGTTGAAGGGGAAAGTCATGCAGGCCCTCTTGAACCCATTAGAGAAAAAAAAAGCAGGTCAGAAATTTAACAAATGGATCAATAATGATTTATTTCTCCAAAAGGCCCCCTAAGCTTTGCCGAAGGTACAAATTCTCCAGGCAACACGCCTTACTTCTCCACATAAAAAAGGCTACGGTGCAATTCAAACAAGTTTGTTTTGCATCCGCAGCAGGATGGAAGAGGTAAAAGGTCTGAAAACGGCCGGATCAAGACGTTTCACCATCTTTCTCTTTCCCCGATGCTTGACTTTGTAGATGGAAGCCGTGTGCGTTAGAAGAGCGATATCCGTTCTGGCATTCCAGCTTTTAAAAAATGCTGCTTTCCCTGGCTTTATTCTCGTCCTCCCGGCACCTCTGTAGAAATCTGCCAGCTTTTGCCGATCCACCGCTTTTCTTGAGCTCTGGCAGCAGCTGTAATAGGCACCGATCACTCCTGTTAGGAAATATTGCCGGCGCGCCGCTTGCCACTTGTGATGTCACGTTGAGAATCCATCATCTGCCGTTGCCATGGGGATGCTAGTTATGCTCATGGGCTTGCCGGCATCAGTGGCTCTCCGTCTTTGTGTGACTCAGGGAATGTGGGCCCGGCTTGCCTGCGAGTTGGCCCTAGTTTCTTATTCAGTCTCTCTCGCTCGAACTGGAACCTTTGGAGAATGTAATCTTGAACTCTGCATAGAGGAAATTTAGGGTAAACAATATATTAGGGGAAGAGAAGATAAGCTCTCGGAAAAGATTTGGGAGCCTGGCTAAAACGGAAATAAAAGGATCGAAAGCAACTCTATAGGATCTCCCCTTCAACGCACACTGACATGGTGTGCGTGCAGGAAAATCTTAAAAATCTTAATGTAGTGTCTACCTTGGCAACATGCATGTATGGCTACATGCTAAATATAATGGTTGTGATGGGTCATTACACCGTTTCCTCCCCCCCCCCACTTTAGGAAGAAAGATCTGATTAATATCCCATGGAAGATGGGGGAGAGTCTTTATAACACAATTATCAGACAGAACAGGAACCGTTCAGGGAATATGATAATGCAGTTATCAGTAATTGCTTCATTCATCAAGAGGGGCTCCTTCCAGATGTCTCATTATCACTGTTAACATTCACCAAGAGTGTCTTCTTATTGGGAACCATTAACATGTAAGGGTCATATCTAAAGCATCGCCTGCTTTCCCTAGGATGACTATAGTCTACTCTAGAGTCTGCTTGAGGGATACCATCATATGGAGAGGCAGAGTGAGGCCAGAGGCTGAAGGCACCACCCTCTCTGTTCCAGAGACATCCTCACACACATCTGAGGATCCCGGACGTATTTGCTTCTCCAGTTCGACAAGAAGGGAATGGAGATGGTGGAAATCTTAGGAATTGAAGCATCCTTTGGTTTTTTGCCTTTGCTATAAAGATCTGCAGAGATCATATAGCTCAGTGGGTTGGAGCAGCTGGTTGGATCCAGAGTCAAGGGTTAGGAGTTTGAATCACCAGCTGAGGTCACACAGAGCAGGATGCATGCCGTGATCCCAGAAATTCACCAAACCACTTCCAAACCCTTTATACCTAGAAAATACTGGGAGCTTAGCCATAAATCCAGTTCAACTTCACAGCACATAATTATTAGTGTTATTGTTAAATACCGGGCAAAGTAAAATAGCAGAACTAACCATGAGAACGAACCTGTATTTTAATGAACTCTCAGTAACTACATTACGCATTTGTAATGTGTAACAGACTGGTTTATTTATGCAATCAAAGTAGTGAGAATGGTAGTCGGGCTGCTGAATAATCCAAGAAGCTTCCTTTTAAAAGTAATATTTGGAGCTGTCTTCAGGAAACCTGATCTTAGTGAGAATACATTTGATGGACCCTAATTTGAGAACAGGGGTGTAGGGGTGTGTGTGTCTGATAAATACTGTATACTGTATGGGTGTGTGTGTCTGATAAATACTGTATACCTCAGGAGAAAAGGACCCGCAGCAGCTAGCTTTCCGTGCGCCCAAGAATAAATAAATAAATAAATAAATACCCTAGGAGAAAAGGACCTGCAGCAGCTAGCTTTCCGTGCACCCAATGAGCCATTGGTAGACAAGGCTTCACTGATCCTGTTCCACCTTGCTAAATCTGTCGGGAGTTATTGCAAAAGCAGTCGTTTTTCAGCCCTACCTGGGAGAGGTAAACTGTCTTCCCAGAAGATTCCGCCCTGAGATAGCAGAGGTGCAGCTGAGCCTCACCCTTCTGCAAGAGAGAAAAAGGAGCATTTCTCATTCCTGTCTGAAGACAAATCAAACCCTTCATGCACGGAGGATGATGCCCACAATGACAAAATGTGGCTTAAGACTACATTAGTCAGTCTCTGGCAATCAGATGCATCCTCGTTTGTTGAAGGATTCGAGATGAGCCATTTTGCTAACCTGCCCATATTGCGAAAGAGCCTTTACTTCTCCTAAAAGTCCAGTGCTTGTGTGCAATATGGACACTTCTCCTAAAAGTCCAGTGCTTGTGTGCGATACGGAGAGCGTTATTTCATTTCCATTCATTTATTAAAATTCTTATTGCTACTTTCAATATTATTACCCTGGCGACTTTGCTCTGAGGGGGCCGGGATGGTTTGGCCTCCGATGCGCACAGAGATACTGTATAATGATATTAAGAGCATCGGGATTATGTTGTGTAGTTTTCTGGCCCCTAAAAGCTGGATTTCCTAATAATTAGGGTGTGTAATTGGGTGGGGGTTTTTTTACAACAATTAAAAGAAAATTATTACTCGTTTTCCAGACTTGTACCCTTTGGTAGAGTAGACCTTCAGTCTAGATGGGCGGGACAGAAATCTAATAAATGAATAAATAAATACCCCCCTCTCTCTATTTCAATAAAGCATAGAAATCTAATAAATAAATAAATAAATACCCCCACTCTCTATTTCAATAAAGCAGCATGAAGTGCAATGATTGATTAATACTGCATCCAGCCAGCCTCCCCTCCGACCCCATTGCTGCCATCATTATTAATCCCATGTTTGAAGCTTAATTAGGTCATGTTGAGAACACTGACCACAGCAAATCTAAAGTGGGTGAAATGCTCATCTGACAGGCTTTCCCCAGAGACCATGCCTTATCATCTGTCCAGAAAGAGAGATGGGGACCTGGGGTCAACCTGAGATACCGTGCAGCCTAAGACAGCGCAGCCAATTCTGGCACCCCTCTGCAACCCACTCAAATCAAGGGGCACAATAATGCTGAAACTGGAACACGATATTTAGCTCAAGGAGCAGAAAGACTCCCACATCCATCTCTCTCCTGCATTCATGGAGAAAGAAGAAACATAGGGTGATAATAAAGAAATATATAACAATGTTATGATCTGGTTATCCTAGGATATTCCAAAACCCACAGAAACACCTCACTTAAGCATTTCTAGCTGCTATCAATAAATCAGCACTGCATAGAAAAATAGCCTTTATTTATTTTCCACAGAGAAGAGTGTGAGCTTGTTTTAATCTTGTATTTGGTCCATTTTGGGCCATCTCAGTGCAGGGCTTGGGGATGATTCCAGATTGCATTAATCCGTTGGGCAACCCTGGATCAGTCCTTCTCTCGTTGTCAGCCAGGCCTACCTCACAGAGTCGTTGTGAAGGAGAAAAGCTACATAGGCCATACAGTACTGAGCTCCAGGGGAGAAAGGCAGAATAGAAATAAAGGAATGTAATGCCCATTGTACAGATAGGGCTTTATGGTGAACAGATCCCTTCTCTCAGAGAGAAGTTCTCATTAAGTTCAACGTTGCTCCTGTGGTTTGCTCAGAGTTGCAGTTTTAATTATCTCAGTTGACGCCCCCCCACCCCCAAATTACAAGGCCTTGATTAACACTGGCTGGCAACTAGCAGCCTCAGGCTTTAGAAGTCGGTTGGGAACCGAAGGCCTCAATCGCGTCGCCATGGCGACGGCGAGAAGCGCGCCCGGGCTTCCCCCGCCGTCACTCAAAATACCGGCACGGATTGCCATTGGTCGAGTCCTAGTCATAGCCCCGCCTCCTTTTCCATCTTCCCTTCTTTTTTTCCGGCTTCCCCCCTCCGCTAACCTTTCCCAGTTTCCCTAGGAGACGGTTGCCAAGGTAGGCCGAGAAGAAGAAGAAAAGCAGGAGGAGGAGCACCAGCTTCTACCTACGAGCCCGTTTTAACCCCTTCCTTTCCCCACGGTCCACACCCCTGGGCGCATGCGCCCGGCCAGTTCCCCACCAGACGCCTTAGAGGAGGAGAAGCAGCAGCGGCGGCCCCAAAAGAGCCAACCCTATCCAAAACGCATGCGCAATCTGTGCCAAAAAAAAAAAAAAAGCCCCCAAAAGACGGCGACGCTACTGAGGCAGGCGCGCGCCGCGAATCTTGAAGCGGACGGCTCCGCCCCTTTTATATGTTTGTGTGTGCGCGCGCGCGCGCCTCGGCGGCTGCGGAACGTTGGGAAAGGCTCCGCCCCCCCCTTACCGTCGCGCGCGCTCTCCTCAGGCTGAAGGAAGAAGGCGCTTGTTTATGAGGCGG